CCCGTGCAACCGCCGGGATCCCCCATGGCGCTGGATCCCCGGGATCTGTCCCTAAATCCCTGGGATCTGCCCCCTGGATTCCAGGAATCTGCCCTCTTGGGATTCCACATGGTGCTAGATCCCCAGGATCTGCCCCCTGAATCCTTGGGATCAGGTTCCTTCCTATGTGCCATGGTGATGGATCCCTTGGATCTGCCCCCTGGATTCCAGGAATCTGCCCTCTTGGGATTCCACGTGGTGCTAGATCCCCAGGATCTGCCCCCTGAATCCTTGGGATCAGGTTCCTTCCTATGTGCCATGGTGATGGATCCCTTGGATCTGCCCCCTGGATCCCTGGGATCTGCCCCCTTGAAACACACCGTGACGCTGGACCCACAGAAACTGTTCCCTATCTGCCCCCTGGATTCCAGGAATCTGCCCTCTTGGGATTCCACGTGGTGCTAGATCCCCAGGATCTGCCCCCTGAATCCTTGGGATCAGGTTCCTTCCTATGTGCCATGGTGATGGATCCCTTGGATCTGCCCCCTGGATCCCTGGGATCTGCCCCCTTGAAACACACCGTGACGCTGGACCCACAGAAACTGTTCCCTAGGTTCCTTGGATCTGCTCTTTGGGGATCTGCCATAGTGATGGATCCCTGGAATCTGCACCCTGGATTTCAAGGATCTGCACCCTTAGGATCCCCCATGGTGCTAGATCCCTGGAATCTTCCCCCCCAGATCTCTGGGATCTGTCCCCCTCAGGTGCTAAATCGCCAGGATCTGCCCCCTGGATCCTTGGGATCAGGTCCCTTGGTACATGTCATGGTGATGAATCCCTGGGATCTACCCCAGGATCCACAGGATCTGCCCCCTAGATTCCTAGGATCTGCTCCTTTGGGATCCACCATAGTGATGGATCCCCAGGATCTGCTCCCTGGTTCCCCAGGACCTGCCCTCTTGGCACCCATCACAGTGACGGATCCCCGTGCCCCAGTATCACCCCTGGATCCTCCTACCAGCCCGGGGAGGTCGGAGCTGCACGCTGGGTGGGAGCACAGCAGACAGGAAAAAAGCTGCTGTTTTTTAATATTTATCCTTTTTTTTTTCCACGCTTAAAAATAAAAAAAAAAAAAAAGGAAGAAGAAAAAAAGGACGTATCTGAGGATCTGCGGTGATTCATAGCTCCAAGTGGGCTCCCGAGTGGAGACGCGGAGGTTCCCGGGTTGCTCCGTGCGCTGCCCCGGTGCTGTCCCGGCAATGCAGAGGGACGGGGCCGGCCCGAACCCGGAGCGGAGGCCCCGGGGCCCGAGGAGCCGCATCCCGCTCAGCCCGGGGCCCCGGAGCATCCCCGCAGGGCGGGCGGGAACGTGTCCCACGGGCCGCGGGGGTGCCCAGCCACGTCCCGCGCTTTGCTTCGCGCTGCCGTGCGGCTGCTCCGGCTCAGGGACGAGGCCTGCACGCAGGGACTGTGGAAACAGCAAAACACGGGAGCAGCCAGCAGCGGCACCGGGCGACGTGCCGGGATGCAGGGCACGGGCATGCCCAGCCTGGGGACATGCCCGGGACGCACGACACCCGCGAGGTGCGTCGGGGTGCAAGGCACTGGGATGGATGCTGCTGGATCCGCTGGCTCTGGGTCGGATGGTGCTGGATCCGATGGCGCTGGATCATGCCGAGAGACCCCAAAGGATGTCCCAGATCCGCGAAGCCCCCGCAGGACGGGCGCAGCTCCGCGCTGGCCCGGCCGGCGCCTCCGTCCTCCCTCCGCTCCATTCCCAGCACCTCGCGGCGGCCCCTCGGTCTCCCGGCACCGCAGCATTTTTCTGAGTTTGAGCTCATTCTTTCCGCTCCCCTCGCCGCCGGCTGCCAACTTTCCATCCGCCCCCTCGGCT